GTAGGCTGAGTCTTAAGATGTGCTTTAGGAAATTGAACTAAGAAAACGGGTGCCGCAACAAGTACCATCGCAAAGGGTATCACCAAAGCAGGTGTGCCTTTCATGGTCTGTACCAAAAATGACACCTGCTAAGGTTCACGCCAAATAGATAGTACGTACAAAGGAACACGTGTCTACCAAAGCTTGGTGGTTCAGGATAAAATATTCCGTAACACGTGTTGCTACACTATTTGGCCACCTAGTATATTAAGTACTGGGGGAAAAAGCCTATAAATAGGATCCATTCTCAAAGTTTGAAAAGAGAACTTCTTGGGATTTGGGGGATATGCTACCAATTTTTTCACTTCCACATTCTTCTTAAACTGCTTGTTTCATCCTACCTGGCCACTCACTCTCTAGTTACCCCAAATTATCTACTCATGAACATAGTTTTGTTTCTCCAAGTACTATCATTATTTAGTGTTCATTTTGGACCCCTTATATATATCTGTGTTGATCACTGCACCTTCTAACTAGTCATTCCCAATGTGTCCAACATGATGGTAGAGTTTCATACTTTCCACAACCACCCACGAGTGGCAATGTTGCTATTAAGTTGCTTGCCTAAGGCCACAAGACCTCCACGAGCATAGCCAAACCCAAAGCGCACGTTCGTGAGTTGGCACATGAAACTTTAATGGCACCTTGATAGCTCATTCGGTCTACGATGACACCACAAAATGGTACAATTATATCCCAAACCTCACGTATATAAAATAATGCATAGTTTTGACACTAATGTCTTTTTATGACACCGTTTATGAGGCTTTCAAACCTGCGTGTAAACGAAACCTAACAGGTTGGCTTTAAGCGTTATGCAATTTTAAAAAATAAAAGAGAAATTGATATAATTATAATAAAATTATGAAATTAATTGTAATTTTTACAAATTTGAAAAAAGGAAAGTGGCATCGTGTATAATCAAAAATCAAGTGTTACATACCATCGCACACCGTTGATTAAATTGGGAGTCCAATTCTATTTTCGGTAAATAAATTTTGTTAAGTAAATTTATTTATTTGTTTGATTTGTTTATGTTTTTTTTATTGTACATAGAAGATTGTTCCAACACTAATATCCTTTTACAACACTATTTATGAGACTTTCAAACCTACATATAGACGAAACCTAACGGGTTTGATTAAAGGTTATTTTGGGAACCACCTAAAACAGTTAAAAGGTCAAAAAATCATTATTAAAAAGTTAACTCTTCTATCTACTTTTCTGCATATTTTTTTGTAAGAAGTTACTAAAAAGCCAACCAAAATAACCACTTCCCAAAATAACTCTCAAGTGTCATGCAATTTGAAAAAAATAAATAAAAGAAGATTAATGCAATTATGATAAAATTATGAAATTAATTGTAATTTTTACAAATTTGAAGGGTGGTATTGTGTACAATGAAAGATCAAGTTTTTCAAACCATCCCACACCGTCGATTAAGCTGGGAGTACAAGATAGTTGGCAACACCCTCATTGAAAGAAAGAAGGTGTGTATACATTTAGGAAAATGTTTTTTTCCCTGAATTTGAGCCCCTCCGAATCCCCCGAATCAGATAGAAAAGAAGAGAGAAAGAGAAGAGAGGGTAAGTGGAGGAATAGAGGGGAAGAGATGGCAGCCCCTCCGCCCGATCGTCGCCCCGCCGTCGCCTCGTCGCAACCCCATCGTCGCCTTCCCCTCTGCCTCGCTGCCCCCGCCTCTGCCTCCGCCTCCACCCCCAGCCCGATTTTGATGGCCCCTCCAGTCCAGTCCTTCTTCTTCTTCTTCCTCCTTCTCTTCTTCTTCTTCTTTTTCCTCCTTCTTCCCTCTCTTCTTCTAATTTTCTTCTTCTGAGAAGAAAAAAAAAAAAATCAAAAACGACGAAAACGACGTCATTTTTGAATTCGAGGGGAATTCGGAGGGCTCAAATTCGAGCTACCAATCACTTCTCATACATTTATGCTCTGCAAAGAGTGACCATATAGCTTGGTCTGGCAAGTGATGGTTTCAATTGCATTCCTTCCTTCCTTCTATCAACCATTTCCATGGTATATATAATATATTATTGTAGACATATACATACACATATATACATGTATGATCATTCATAGAAATCCAAATTCAAATCGAAGATCGAAAATTGCTCGATTCAAAGTGTCCAACATTGGGGAGCCTCTCTTTTCTTTGGGTTTTGTGTTTTTGCGCCACAATCATCAGATTCAGATGAACAATCCACTGCCTAGTGAGAAAACCCTAGAGTTGTTGCGGTCATGTATATTGATAATTTGATAAGGTTCATTCGTGTTGTTGCTTCTAGCGCCTATTATCAAGAAGAAGGGTCTCCAGAGGGCCAGAGCTTCGAGCCCTCGTGCCAGTAAGTAGCGAAATTTTTGTGATTCATTGGTAATTTTAACCCTATCCCTAATTTTCCCATCTCTTGTTTGGCTAATTGGATGCATAATTTATACAGTACATCCGTTTTGCATATTGTACATAATGCACATTGTAAGAGGTTTTGTTAATTCATTACAATTAGAATTAATGGAGATAGCATTAATGGGTTTGCATTGTTAGCCTTCTTGTATGTGGGATTAATAAAGGTAGCGTTTTGAAAGGTAGAGACAAATTGTTTAGAGGGTAGTTGGGTTTTTTTTTGTTTTTTTTTTTTGTAGAAGGATGGATATATTGCAAGATCTTATATGAACATGAGGTGGGGGGTTTTACTATCTGACTTGGAATTATCCCCCCAAATAGGTAAGTAGCTACATTAGTAGCAGCTTGGCTTGGTATTGGACAGTGTTATATGAACTCTTCTATTCTTACCAGTGCTCGTGTCCATTGGATACGAGCTTGAATCCTTTACTTTTATAAAATGGTCACAAGAATTGTGCAAAGACATTAAGGATATAAAACATCAATGAATAAAAAAAATATCAAGAATGCTAACCAATTGGATTGAAAGAGGTAGAAAAACTACTATATTATATATTGTTTTGCATGACCAAAACCAAAAAGAAAAAGTGAGAAAAAGTCATCTTTTTAATTATTAGATAGTAACTGATTGAGAGAACCATCTACACACACACACATACATCATTAGCAGTAAGTTTCCATCTAACTCCCTTAACTAACCAATTGCGATTTATGAGTAAATTTAGCAAAAATAGACTATTTCCCTTAAACAGAGCTGTAAATTGCAGGTCAGAGTAAGCTCAATGTACCATTGAACGGTTATCCATGAAACTATTTGCAAGGATTGTTAGTAAGGTTCTTTATCATCATCATCATCATTATTTATAAATGTATTTTAGTTTGGGAGACTCATTGCCTTTGTCTATTAATATGAAAATTCAGCATGTGTATAACATTTTTCTCAAAAAAAGAAAAGAACATCAAAAAGAAAAAGAAAAGAGATAAAGGTGAACCTAGTAAATGTAATGTTCTTTGCCACCTTTCGTCCCTAGAAGCAAAGTATCAAATAATCAAACCCAAAATAAAAATTATTATCATAAATTTAGGTACCTATTTTTAGTTTCAGCTAAGCTTCATTTTTTTATAAATTTATTTCCTGTGAGATGCAGATTTCTAAACCACGTGTCTAGTAATACTGTGGGCTTGGAAAATATTTTGTTAATAAGATGAGGAAGATAGGCAAAGATAGACATATTAATCAATAACACATCACGATTAAAATTGCATGCTTACATATAAGATATGATGTCAAGCCAAGTCAAACAAAGCAGGATGTTCTTTGCCAGTCCTCCGACAACTCAAATGTATTGAAAAAAAATAATTTTTGGTGATTTTAATGTGAAATTAAAGTAGGTCTCAACCATTAGTTGATGTGGGATTAAATGAATTTAGATTCTTTTTAACAAAGTCTTTACACCACAAAAAGAAGAATAAAAAACCATTAATAATTGAATGAGAAATTGTCTTATAAATATAGCCTCATGAATGAGGTGTTGAGAATTGTCTTTAACTATTAATCCCACATTGATTATAAAGGAAAACTTTGATGGGTATTTAAACCTCAAGATTATGAGAAAAACATGAGCCCTTTGGGGCATCCAAATTTTCCGAAGGAAGGAAATTATAGATGCTTAAAAGATGGACTTGGGTCAAGACTTTGGTTATAGAAAAATTGCCACACGCGCGCCACCCACCCACCCGGGTCGGGATAGGGCCGGGTGTGGGTTGCGGGTCACGAGTTGTAGATCTTGAGCTTGGGCTTGAGGCTTGAGAAAATTGGTTAGGTTTGGGCTGAGCCGGATCAGTGATCCACCAATCTAATCTTTTTGGGCCAAGTCTGCTGCAAATATACACACTTGTCTATACAAAATATATATATCTCAGATATTATTGTCCCATCAGTTTTGGTCCATTATTCCGGCAATTTTTGCAGGCTTCATGAGCATTGGTTGCTAGCCTTCATAGCTAGAGACTCCTCCTCTCTCCTCCATGGTATATAAAAGGAGACCTATCTCCCTTGGTTTTGGTACAGATTTTTTGCTTCCAAAATATATATAGTCAGTTTGCTTCCGTTTATAATTTTTCTTCCTATGTGAAAGAGTACTACCATTGTCGATTCGCCAAAGCTATTAGAAGATGTTTCTGCATTAGCCAATCTAAACCGTCGTATCCTGAGAGACAGAAGCCGACGTACCTCTAGCACCCATGGTGAGACAGCTAATCTATTTTAAGGAGACTGTGGTACCACACCGGTTTCAATTTGCTTTCTTTACCATTTTATTGTATTGTGTATTTCTGTATAATATGATTGTAAATTCAATTTTTTTTTTATTCTATTGTAATTGGATTAATCATGAATCTATTTATTTAGTTAATTATACAATTTGTACAACAATGTATAGATTAGTTTCAATAACTAATTTAATTATTCCTCAACATCCCCTTTTTATTTATTCTCAAAGAAAATTATGTTCATTCATATCGATTAGATATGGTGGTGCAACAACAATAACAACAAAAGAAGCAATAATAATAACAATAATAGCTACAGTTACAATTACATTAGTAATTATGATGATATCTAATAATGATAAAGCAAATACAGTTGTTCTTTTGGTGCAAATCCATGTCAATTAAGGCTTACTTTAACATAATCTGTATGTCCTGGGCAATCTACATGTGCATAATGCTGCTCAGTAGTCTCATACTCCACATGGGCCTACAACATCAAGTCATTCCTTGTGTTCAATATAGATAGATGCTTCAAAAATCTTACTTGGTTTCAAGGAGAAATATGGATGCTACACAAAATCATACAGCCTAGCATAATGGTGTGAAAAAACAAGGGGGAAAAAAACTATAACCCATCGTTGCAATTGTAATCCCTCTATTTTTCTCTTCAAGGGCTTTGTCAATTTCATCAAAGGCAACAACCTTAGCTTTGCCTTCTTCTGCTAGCACCTAAAGGAGGTGCATAACCATTTTAGAACCTAAATATCACTGTAATACAAATTAGAATAAGTTTTCCTCAATGGTCCTTCTCTGTTCTCTTTTCCCCAACACTGGTATGCTCCACTCCACATATTGCGCACTATGAGATCATAACTACATTCCAAATTTCCAATAACAATGGAATAAGGAAATTAGAGAAAACAAAATTTATTATTTTTTTGTTAATATAATACACATCTATTTGAAGTTTAAAAGCCCAACAATCTCCAAACTCAATTACAATCATAAGAAAAACTACATATAACCCAATTGAACTCTTCTCCATAGAAGTTAAACCACAACCTCAAACTACATAGTGGTGCTACTCAATCAATAGGCCAAAAATCATGATTCACTTACCCATTGTCTTTCTCACATAACTTTCACAAATTGTTTGAAACATTGCCGTCAAATACGATATACTGATATCTATTTGTGGCCAATGTTATTTTCATTTTAGCATACATTCTAGAATTCGTTTTTTAATTTTTATTTTATTTTTAAATAACCAAAAAAAAATTCTTTAAAAAAAATCAAGAATTTTTTTTGTAAGGGCAATTATATATGACATTTTTATTTCACCGAACTTTTCATCTCCTTGGTGATTTCTCATATATAACATGACAAGTTTCAAATATAGCCATTTACTTTATATATATATATATATATAAAACAAAAACTCATAAGAAAACAATATAAAAGTATAGTAAGAGCCAACCACTCTTAGTAGCATTTTATCAAGCAACTAGGAGGTATAAATAACGTGTATATAGTTTTCTTCTCTGCTGGACAATAGAAACAAAATAAAGATATATAGCGATACCTAAGCAAACACAGATACACAAACATAACCAGCCAAAGACAACAAAGAGAAACAAAGACAAGCAATCATCATACACATAACACAAATCATCTTGATATGGAGTCACAATTTTGGGTATCTGTTAATATTTAGATACATACAAACATGTGCAAACATCACAGAGAGACAAAGAAGAGAATCACCTGATACAAATTTTCTTTCTAGCAAGAACCTAGCACAAATCTTGAACAAAAAGAATGGTCAAAGTAAAATAGGAGCCATTACAAGTAAAAATCAAAATTACCTGAAAAATTGGCAATGGCAACAAAATCTTAATTTTTAGATCAAAACCCCCAAATAAAAACCATAAATTTTCAATTTAAAACCTAACTTTTCAAAACCATTTTTTTTTCCCCCCAAATCACTAGACAAATACATGAAATATAACAAATGGTGATAGAAAAATCTGAACAGAGTTTCGCAAGAAACAGAAAAATCTGTCGTCGTTCAATCAATACCTCTTGATAGTGGTGGTTTGAAACCCTAGCTTCATAGAGAGAGAGAGAGAGAAGCAGCAGTTTACCATAAAAAGAAAGAGAATTTGCAATAGAGGGTTGAAATCGAAATCGATGAGACAATAGAAATCGAAATCAAAACCAAACACACAATGAGTAATCACTTTAATAGAAATCAACAAAGATAAAAGGAAGGAGATGACGAAGCAATGTACCAGGTAACCCTTCTTCAATGAGACGATTCAGAGAGATGAGATTGAGCTCCCTCCGAACCCTTCTCCTTTTTGATGAAACCTTTTGGGTTCATTTTGATTAGAAACCAAAGCCAAAGCCTTCTAGGTGAACCCTCTCTTCTTGGTTTTGCCCAAGTATCTTTGAACCCTCTCTCTTCTCTCCCTCTTCTCAGTTTCTATGTTCCTTTACAATTAGAAGCCAAATAGTTCGTGTTTTTTGATATATTTATTTTTGTCTATTATTGGGTTTGGGGGTTTGGCGCCAGAGTATTTCATTTTGGCGTTTATTTTTATTTCGGTCATGCTAATTATAATAGAAATTGTGTGTCGTGAAAAGTAAAATATTTTTAATGGTTAACATATGTACGTCGTGAAAAATGTACTTTTTAATAACTGATTTTTTGTGCATTATGAAATGTTTAATATTTTTAACAATTGGTGTACGTGTGTTGTGTATAGTTGATTAGGGGTATAAAAATGGCATGAGACCCATGGGCGGCCCGAAGCCCGAGGTGGGCCCGTCCCATTTCAGCCCAATTAAACCCGGGCTCAAGCCCAGCCCAGTATCTTGGGTCTGGGCCTGAGCCTTCCCTTTTGGGGCCCTGCCCGGCCCAACCATCAATCCCTCTCTCTACCAATGATCAAATTTCAAAAAATAAAAATAAAAAACAACTTACAATAGTTAAATAATTAAAAAAAATAAATAAAAAGATTAATCTTATAAAAATAATAAAATTAAATAATTAAATAAATAAAAAGATTGATCTTATAAAAATAAAATAATTAAATAAATAAAAAGATTGATCTTATAAAAATTAAAAAATTAAACAAAAATTAATATAATTAAATAAATAACATTAATAATTTAAAAACAAAACAAAAATTAATAATAATTTATTAAATTAAAATCAATTTAATAGTTATTTGATACAAAATTGTGATATGATGTATCACTGGCAGTGGCAATGCACAACAGCACAGTCTGTGTGTGTGGCTAGCCTTATTTATTTTTATTTTTTTTAATTTCTTACTTCATTGATTGTTTCATGGGAAAGTGCACCTAACCTGATGGGAAAGTGCACCTAAGCTAACGTGAAAGAAAAAAAAAATAATATATATATATACTAAGTTGGAAGGTAATACTGGGCTTGTGGAGGTTCACCACGAGTCCCATTTTGATAATCCGAACTATTCAGTGTGTAAAACTCTTCCATTACTATATGCCTGTAAAAAATCACGTTAATCGGATATCGCTAACTACATTATCAAATCAATTTGGTATAAAAATGCATGGTGTTATAGTTAATGGTTGACAAAAAAAATTAATCTGATCAGATAGTTATAGATATCCGATCAACGTGATTTTTTACAAACATATAATAATCAATGAGTTGTACACATTAAACAGTTTTGATTAGAAAAACGGGACCCGTGTTGATAATCCGAACCATTCAGTGTGTAGAACTCTTCCATTACTATATGCTTGTAAAAAATCACGTTAATCGGATATCGCTAACTACATTATCAAATCAATTTGGTATAAAAATGCATGGTGTTATAGTTAATGGTCGACAAAAAAAACTAATCCGATCAGACAGTTATAGATATCCGATCAACGTGATTTTTTACAAACATGTAATGCTCGACGAGTGGTATACATTGAACGATTCCAATTAGCAAAATAGGACCCGTGATGGCTCCCACTGGCCAAAGAGCACCGTCCAAATGATTGCTCAAAAAAGAGGCAACCATTTCCTAAAACTTTGCCATGCCGCCGTATAGCCCCTACCTACTATTATAGTACCAGCCTAGCCTTAATTTTGAGCCGTTGCATTGCAAATTTGCATCTCCTACAACTCAAACGGATATTTATAAAACGGTCATAATTCAAACGGTTAGAATTTAAACTATTATAAATATATTTTAGTTTTCAAAATATATTTCGCAACAAATCATTCTCTCTCTCTCTTCAACTCTTTGAATCTCTCTCAACTCTCAATTAATTTTAAAGTGTCATCCCTAAGTGGCTATTGCAATTGTGCAACAAGAAACTTTTAACAAAAGAAGAAAATTTCTATATCACATTCGCCAGTCGATAACATTAATTAGTTTAATTAAATTTATTAACTACTCATTTTTTTCATTAATTATTTATGCACATATATTAATTGTTATTTTTTACTGATTGGATTTACACATTATTTAAATTAATTGTTAATTCTTATATATTGTTTTACTTGCATTACTATGGATCCTAATATGCATAATGCTTATGTCGATGTTGATATATATACTACACCACATGAATCTGTTGATTCTCCTTCTAATATCCCTCTTCCAACAGTTGCATCATCATCTAGGAGCAGAAGTAGTAGTGTTTGGGAACATTTTGAAAAAATATCTATAAATAATCCTGATGGCACAATTACATATAAAGCAAAATGTAAATATTGTGCACGTTTACTTAGTGTTGTATCTGCAGGGGTACTAGTCATTTAAAAAGGCATTCTGACAAACATTTACAAAGTAAACAACCTGATATTCGAAATCAAATGCAATTAGGGACTTCATCAACTGGTATTTTGCAAACATTTTCATATGATCCTATACGTGCACAAAATTCTGTAATTGATTATATTATTAAAAAAGAACAACCTTTTAGTACTAGTGAATGTCCTGATTTTACCGAAATGATTCACGAAAATTTTGCACCGCAATATCAAAGTTTTTCAAGAAACACTACTAGAAACAAGATTTTAAAGAAATTTGAGGATATTAAAAGTGAATTATTTGATATCTTTAAAAATTTGAATAGAAGAGTTTGTTTAACATCTGATCTATGGTCAAATAATGGTTTTGAATATCAATGAATCAATGCACATTTTATTGATAATGATTGAAAATTAAATAAAATAATTATTTCATTTAAATTAATTGAACTTCCACACACTGGTCATTCGCTTGGTGTAGAAATAAGAAATGTATTATATGAGTGGGCTTTACAAAATAAAATATTTACGATTAGTTTAGATAATGCATTATATTATAATCAAACTGTAGCTCATTTAAAATCAACTTTACAATTACTTGTTGATGGTGATTTAATTCATATTCGTTGTTGTGCCCATATTTTAAATTTGATTGTTAATGAAGCTATGCATGTATACGAAACTTCTGTACTTGTAATAAAAAATACAGTTGTTACTATTATGTCTTCTGGTAATCAAATTTCAGAGTATAAAAAAATTTGTCAACGAGAAAATATGTCATTTAAAAAATTAATTTTAGATGTAGATAGTAGGTGGAATTCAATATATAATATGTTAAAAATAGCTTGTAAACAAAGAAGAACAATAGATTTATTTTTTGCAACAATATCAACAGGAAGAGTACTGACACCCACTGAACTTAATTGGCGCCAAGTAACCTTGTATAAAGATTTTTTAAAAATTTTCGATACTTCAACAAAATTATTTTCTTATATATATATATTCCTACTTCACCATTTGTTTTACATATGCTAGCAGAAATAATTAAAATTTTCATAAAATATATGGGTAATGAACTTTATGTAACCATTATTACTTCAATGAGAGAAAAATTTGATAAATATTTTCATCATTTGCCTCATCTATTAGGTTTAGCTATAATAATTGATCCTAGGTGTAAAGAAGTTGGTTTACAAGAATTTTTAGAACGTATTTTCACTGATCAAATACAGTTTGCCTCTATTATGCAAACATGCAACAGATTATTTCAAGAATACAGGGCAACTGCAGCTGCATCTGCATCTGTAAATATACCTACACACACTACACTAACAGTCCAACAATCTCGAGGCGAGAGATTACGTATTTTCACAGCAATAAAAAGTAGAAGAATATCTCAACATACAAGTGTAAGTAGTTCTGAACTACAACGTTATTTGGAAAGCCTGTCAGTGGATGGTTCCGATAAATTTGACATTTTGGAATGGTTGAAACAAAATGAATCTATGTGGCATGTGCTTTCACAGATAGCCCGTGATATACTAACCGTTCCTATTTCTACAGTTGCTTCAGAAACAGCTTTTAGTGCAGGTGGACGAGTGCTGAGTGACTACAGGAGCAGGCTTTTACCCGAAATGGTTGAGCCATTGATGATATCCAGGGATCATATGCACGCGCTTACAAGAAGACAAAATTTTAATGGAAATGAGCGAATTCAATATGATTTGGATGACATATCAACGGGCAACGCGACTGAAATGTCTGTCTCCTCCGATGAATGTGAATGTAACAATTTGATGCAAAGTTGCCATAAAGAGCTGAGCTAACTATTTGGCATGTTCCTTTCATGTGGGGGCCGTATATTGTTCCCACAATTTTCTTATTGGATTACTTGGATCTGAATGGGGTTGGCAACATGGAGAGGTTCTTTCCCAACTGTGCCATCATGTGAGGGAGGCTTTTTCTTCCTAGTTAAACAGTTTAATTGCACAGAGAATTTTCACAAATTGCTCTACCATCATCAGTAATCTACACCTAATTTATTTAATAATATCAATTTTTGTAATATTTTATTTCATTTTGAAATAAAAATTATTCATTCAATAAATATTATATAAATAATTTAATATTATAATATTAAAAGTTTCAATTTCATATATATATAAAATTATTCATTTCGAAAGAAAAAAAATTTCATAATTGCATACTTTTTTAATTATAAGTTCACAATTAAAAAAACATAAGTCATATATAATTAAATTTAAATATCACTATAAAACATTACATAACCAAACAAAATATCTCATTAATCGTAATTAAAATACTTTAGTATAATTTTTTTTTATTTCTATTATTAAAAAAAAAAGCCCGACTAGGCCCGGCCCGCGGGCCAAGACCCGAGCCCAGCCCCTAGGCCCAGCCCTATGCTGCTATTATGAGTGGGTTTGGGCCTGGGCCTCACATTTTAGCCCATGAGCCGGCCCAGCCCGGCCCGCTAAAAAATCACGAGCTCAAAAGGCCCGGATGGGCCGGGTCGGGCCATTATTACACCCTATAGTTGATGTATTAACAGCATGTCATATGCATGTCATAAAAAGTTTTATTATTTATGGCTAACATTTCAAGCCGTAAAAAAATCATCGTTATTAGAATTCACAACCTACACAATAGGCATGTCGTGGTTGGGTTATTTTTTACAACATACAAAAAAAACAAGTCATAAAAGTTAGAAACCACAGCTTGCATTTATTGTATGTCGTTGATGTGAAACCGTGAAAATCCAATTTTGTTATAGTGGGTTATTATAATGAAATTGTATCAATATTGTTTTCAGATATAACTGAACATTATAATGAGTCATTACTAGCTTTTATTTGACAATTTGCTAATCTCATCACCATAATAGTCTATAATTGAACACCACAAATAATTCATAACTAATCATTATATATATGCATAATTAATATATAATTCTACCACCAAAAATACAAAGTTTTTTTTTTTTTTTCCGAAGATTGTAACAACCTTATAAAGTTTGTCCGAGGCTTGCTAGTGGTTTGGCATGGGAAGCTATATATATTCCTCACTTTGTGGGCACATTAGGTGAAATTGGAGGCAACTTCAAGATGGAGTGACCATTAAGATGTTTTGTTTGTTATAAAATTATGTAGAAAATTTTAGTGGTTATGCTTTAATATTAACCCCAAGCACTTTGGTTTATTATAGCGAGACACAAAAGGAGCATGTATCATTGGATTCCACCAAATAAAATTTTGGGGACCAAGGCAATAATAATTTTAAAATCACATTACTAGGAATCATTTTGGCACCTTCTTGCTCCACAATGCTTTCTCCACTCCTAGACTCACATGCTCACTTTCTCTATTTTTTGAAATTAAGAATATTTTTAAAAGTATTAATTAATAAAAAAATTAAATAATTATGCATTCCTTAATTACTTGTTACACAACTATTTTAAACGTGCTAACAAATTCTTTAAGTGACAAGAGCACTTACTAATAAAACTCAATTAAAAATTAGACTAGCAATGTGGATAATTCTTTCTTCTAGTTTCATTTGCAACCATATGATTTTTAGTGGTGAGAGGTAGGTTTTGTAAAGTGAAAGTAACGTACTTGTATGTAAAAATTGATCATAAAAAATAAAAATAAAACAACTCAACTCAACTTTGATATCATTTTTTGTCAATATATTTAGAAACATCATGAGAATTATATCAAATTAGACAATTAATTACATTAGAAAACCCTACAACAAAGGACCTTTTTTTTTACCTCATCAAGTTGTTTTTAACTCACGTGGATCTTGTTTTTATTGAAGGCTTATGTGGAACACCACTATATAACTAGGTGTTTTGAGCACTAAAAATATATATTAATACCTAATAATTTATGATGTATTTACAAACAAGTCCCGTGGAGTTATATTCCATCAAGTCATAATTAAATTTTTTTAGACATTTATGTCCCATTAAATTTTAAATAATTAAGCATCTCAAACGGTAGTAGGCATTTTACCTATCTAAATATTACTATAAAGTATATATTTTATTTTGCCTATCAACTGTTTTATGTTTTTACTCCAACCATGCTCTTTATTTTAGCTATTTATCCAAATACTATTAATTTTATAGAATGCAACGTCAATAACAAAGATGGAGGGAAATGATCCTAATGATTGAACACATTTTGCCTAGCGTTGAAGGCTAGCTACATGTAGCTAGTGAATATGAGTTGAGCCAAAATGCCTAATCATATGCCTAGTGCATTGGAATTGAAAAAAATGAATCACACTAGGCATTTTAACTAACAAATATTATATGCCTAATGCATTGGAGATGCTCTTCAAACAGCGATTATTCATTAGTTGTAATTGTTTCTAAAGAAATATAATGATTTTTAAAATTTTAAAACATCATAATTTTTAAAGTATATATTTGTTTTCAATAAAATTTATTTTATTAGAATCAACGCAACAAGATTTCTCAAACAAGACTAATATTAAATATAAAATTATGTAAAAATAAAAATATTTTTTTATTACAAATTTAGGGGTTGTTTGAGATGATCTAAATAAGTACATTTTTTGATTTTTTATAAAATATGGGTTGGGTTTGGGTTTGGGTTTGGGTTTGGGTTGGGGTTGGGTTTGAAGTGATGGGTTAGAGAGGTGATGTGACTTAAATAGGATGATCTGACTTAAATAGGATAGTGACTTTTTGACTTTTTTTAAACATGCCAAACCAGCCCTTAGAATTTAGACCATTTTCAATAGGAAAAATAGGTGGTAGCTCAAAATGGGTGAGGGTCGAATGGCCCGAAATTTGAAAACCACGTCGTTTTGCGATTTTCTTCTTCTTCTGCGTTGAACACAGGAGAACAGAGGGGAAGAGGAGGAGAAAGGGAGAAAGAGAGAGGAGAGGAGAGAAGAGCTCGTCGCCTCTGCCCCTCCGGAAAGAGAGAGGAGAGGAGAGAAGAGCTCGTCGCCTCCGCCCGCCGTCCTCGTCGCAGCTCGCAGCTCGTTCGTCGCCTCTGCCCGCCGTCGCAACTCACAGCTCGTCGCCTCCGCCCGATCATGCCTTCGCCCCCCGCCTCCGCGTCCAGCCCTAATAATTGGCCCCCCTCCAGTCCTTCTCCTCCTCCCTCCTCCTCTAATTTTCTACTTCTTCTGAAAAAAAAAAAAAAAAAATGACACCAAAGGGAGGGGATGAACGGAGCTGTGTGTGTGTGTGAGTTTTCCAGAGGGAGGGGATGAACAGAGGGAGGGTGGGTGTACAAAGAAAAGGGATGGGTGAACAAAGCAATTTAGGCCTTTCGACCCACGCCATTTCGAGCTACGAAATGGGATTGTTTCAATGGTAAAGTCTTCTTGACTTATTTCTTGAACTTCTTAGAACTAACAATATTTACTTGGTTTAATTTTTTATTATAAAATATATGGAGTTGGTTGAGTTAAGATAAAATTTCATACAAAATTGAAAAAAAAATACTTAAAATGAGGAAGTTAAACTAAAAAACTATAAATTTTATTCAAAAACTAAAAAATTAGATTGCAGTTATGAAATTCATCTAAAATGTATGATTCCTAATACTAAGAAATTTTCAAGTTTGAATAAACTTAAATTGAGAAATAAGTCAGTTTATAAATTTCTCAATTTCTAACCATAAATTAAAATTAGTATCTCTCTCACACACAAATATATATAAATAATTTGAAATATATATCTCAATTATGGAAATAAGAAGTTGAGGAAACTACCATATGAAACATTACTGTGCAAAATTAAAGAATCTCAATTTTAAAAAAGAAAAAATTCACACTGCATTGAAAGGCCCTTTATTAGTTATGGACCAATCCGAACAACTGTGCTGGATGAGGCCGATTGTCCGGTTGAATTAACTGGGCTCAATTCAGTGATGAGGACTTGTTCTCCTCTTGTTCTTCTTCTGACATTAGGAAGTTGGTGTAAAACAATCCTGAAAGGTTGAAACCCAACTATAATATTATGTTTCGTTTGGTAAGTGATTTTTTTAGTAAAAAAATTAAAAAGTTACTAAAAAAATTAAAAAGCCAATAATCTATACCAAAAAGTCAAAGATTCTATTTTCTCTCTACTTTTTGCACATCTTTTTGTAAAAAGTTAAAAAGTAATCCCAAATATACTAGGCCTCCGTTTGGAAAGTGGGTTGGCTTTTTGATTTTTTTGGCTAATTTAGCCTGGGGCCTGGTTTGGGAAGAGCAAGGATCCTCTAGAGTGATTTTTTCCTAAAGTTTCCTAAAGTGCTACAGTGTATGGTTGAGATTTACTGACAAGTCACATCAATTTTTCTGATGTGACTTGCCAATAAATCTCAACCATACACTGTAGCACTTTAAGAAACTTTAGAGAAATTTCACTCTAGAGGATCCTTGGTGGTTTGGGAAGGGGTTTTTGACTTTTTTGACTTTTTGGCTTTTTGGTGAGGTGTCATCTTGTTAAATGACCAAATTGTCCTTTTCCATTTTTTTTATTTTTTAATTTGGGTTTGGATTTGGCATATTTTCGGTTTTTTTTTTACAATATTGGCTTTTTGCTGGAAAAAAAAAATTTCTGATTTTTTTTTTTTTGGTATTTTTTTTTTCAATTTTGGCTTTTTGTTTAAATTTTTTTTTTTTTTTTTTTTTGGATTTGGCATATTTTGATTATTTTTTTATTTTAATTTTTTTATATTATCTTTCGATTTCGCATATTTTGCTAAATTTTTTTTGGGGGGTTTGGATTTGGCTTTTTTTGTTTTTTTGTGTTTTTTATTTTTTTTGTTTTTTTTATATACTGGGTGTCGATCTGCCAACTTTTGCTTAATTTGTTTATTGTTTATTTATTTTTATTTTGGGTTTGAATTTGCCATATTTTGGTTCTTCTTTTTTATTTTAATTTTTTTATGTTGGGGTTTCGATTTTGCCTCTTTTTTTTTTTTGGAGTTTCACTTTGGCATTTTTTGCTTTATGTTTTTTTGTTGACAATTTTTGTATGTTGGGTTTCGATCTCCCGAATTTTGCAAATCCAAATTTTTTATTTTTTATTTGTTTTTTTTTTTAGTTTGGCGGATTTTGCGTTAATTTTTTTTTTGTTTGAATTTTTTTTATTTTGCGCTTGGATTTTTCGTATTTTGCTTAATTTTTTTTCCGGTTACTTTTTTTAATTTTGGGTTTGGATTTGGGGTATTGTGCTTAAATTTTTCGATTTTTATTTGGGAATTTATGTTTTTGTCTTTTTATTTTTTTTTTGTACTATAACTAAGTTTTTTTTTAACTATGTTTTTTTTTTGTCTTGGATTTTTATTTTTAACTACGTCTTGTTTTTTTTAATTAGTATACAATAACTTTTTTTTAATATATTTACGTGTTTCATTTATTTGTAATTTACGTCGCACATGACAATGTGTGTATTAGTTTTCTTTTTCATTTGTTTTTATTTGTTTCACCTTTTTTTGTTTTTCCAAAAGCAAAATTCGTATGGATTGTTGTTTTTTAAAGTTAGGCACGTCAGCAACTGGAAGGGGTTACATTCCCGTGGAAACTCAAACATATTGTACATGATAATATATTTGAATACAGTCTGTTCCACGTGTGTCATTATGTGACAACCATACGAAAATTATTTCGACTACTATATATTTCCTAACATTCCGTTATTACGCATGTAACATAATTTGTCGCGTATGTGAAGGCGGACCAATGCCATATGGGGGTCCTCATCTCCAACCATTAAACCATCCTCGTCATGTTCAACTTCTGGTATGGCATTTACTATTGTCATAGCCTCTTCCTCGTCACAGATTAGCTGAACAGTTGTTGGGTTACCTGTGTTCCACCGTATATAATTATGTAATGCCATTGACGCACCTACTAACTGAACTTGCACATTTGCAAAGTCATACCGAGGCATGTCTCGAATAAACCACCATCGATTTTTTCAGGCACCGAAAGTGCGTTCCACCACACTACGTAAGGACGAGTGCACTTTGTTAAATAATTCCCTTGGCGTGTTTACCATCGCGTTCCGTGCAATACGTCGGAATTCTTGTTGGTGGTAACGGTGGCCTTTGAATGGCGCTAAGTAACCAATCCGGTTTGCATAGCCAGAATCGACAAGATAATATTTGCCTGCAGACATGACAACAATGTATGACACCAAAACGAACATTCTGCGTCATTTTCATATAACGCTTTCTCAGGAAAAAAGTATTTGTTAATAAATCTAATAACATAACCATGTGTTACCTTCGTTAGGATGTGGGAAGGGGACATTGTCATTTGTTAGTATCTTGTTGAATATGCGACTATCATGCATACTTCCTTCCCATCCGCAAGAAATAAATATGAAACACTTGTCAAAATCGACAGCGGCCATTATATTTTGCGTGTAACAGTATTTCCTACCGAAATATGTTGCCGCATCTGGCCCCGTAACCCATGCACTGACATGTGTTCCGTCTATTGCGACAATGCAGTCCTGCAAACATAGATAAATTGTTTTGTTGCGTAAATTGGTAACAAGTGTTTCGTTTTTGCCACGCGTCACGTGCAGTTAATAACAAAAACAAAATATATTATCTTGATTTATATGTCAATCATGTTTTTCAGAAGTACCTTGAACGGTAGGTATTTCCGTCTAGACCGCACGTATGGATGTATACGATGTTGACTGTATGTGGGCCGGCAATGAACAACAGTGAACTCTTTCATGGAAGTTAATACGTTATGCACGTGCCTCGACACAGTCCCCCCGGAATGTTGGAACCGTTCTTGGATTTCCTGATTTTGCTTCCCTTTCAACACATGCATAAACATCGCAACGCTTTCTTCAACAGCTAAGCCATGTGGACGTTGCGGGACTTGTAACCCAAAATCATTTACTAATGTCTCACACAATGCGGCAAAAACTTCCTTCGGCATGCAAACATTTTCCTCAAATCGACCCATATGCCCCGCATATAGTTCGCATATCCATGCATTCCCGATTAGTATAAAAGTGCGACACGGCGTTTTATTCATGTGTTTCTCGTACCATTCTGTCGCCCACTGGCATGCTTGTAGAAATGTGCAATTCTGTTCTTGTTGCACCTGGACCGCCATTTGATTAAGCATTTCCGTTATGTCATCATGGTTGCTTCCATCCCAGGGATTCATCACGTCTTCGTTCATGCGAAACCTACAAAAGTGGCAGCCTTTCAATCAGTTGGCACGTGATTCATTGACTCAAATTATATTGAAGTTTGCAATTACAAAATGCCGACATTGTTTTTAATGTAAGTAATGTCGTCACCAATGTCATTAGTAACGCAATAATCATATGAATTGCACAAAAAATCAAGATGTTCAACTTATGCTTTACAGGGGGGCCTAAAATATATAAAAATATATTACAAATAAATTAGAAAATATGTTTCACAAATTATATTTTAAAAATATATTACATACGATTTAAAATTGATTAAAATAATATTACAAATTTTTGATTTAAAAAAGTCAAGGACTGAAAAATTTTTGTTAACCTATATGACAATTGCATTAATACAAAACAAGTTCAAAAATATATTAAACAACAATATTTTAAATTTATCTTAAAGAAAATTTCCTCAAAACATATTTTCAAAAATATAAAAAAGAATTAGTTTTCAAATACTTATTCCAGTAAAAAAATATATTCAAAATATATTAACAAATACATTTACTAATTTTATTATATTAATGAAAAATACTCAATGCTATCTCAATTCTCATTTGTGAATAAGAATACATATTTCACTTAAAAATATTTGCAACCTTTTGAATGTGAAGGAAGGTAAGAATATATTATCTATTAATATAACAACAAATTTTTTGAAAATACTATAAAATTTTTTTACAATATATTACATAAATATGGTTTACATAATTATATTTCCAAAATTGTTGTTAATATTAAGATTAATATATATCTACCTTCCTTCACATTCAAAAGTTTGCAATATATTTTTAAGTGAAATATGGTATTCTTATTCACAAATGAGAATTGAGCAATTGAGTATTTTTCATTAATATAATAAAATTAGTAAATGTATTTTGTAATATATTTTGAATATATTTTTTTACTGGAATAAGTATTTGAAACTAATTCTTTTTTATATTTTTGAATATGTTTGAGGAAATTTTCTTTAAGATAAATTAAAATATTTGTTTTAATATATTTTGAACTGTTTTGTATTAATGCAATTTTGTCATATAGGTTAACAAAATTTTTCAGTCCTGACTTTTAATTCAAATTTGTATATATATTTAATGCAATTTTTTAATATCGTTGTAATATATTTTTAAATATAATTTTTGTGAACCATATTTTTCTAATATATTTGTAATATAATTTTTATATATTTTAGAAAAAAATTAATGTTAATATATATGATAATATATCTACCTTCTTCCAATGAAGTTTGCAATATATTTTTTATGTATTAATATATTGTAAGAATGGGAATTGGACAATTCGTATGAGTAAAAAATATATCAAACTAATAAATCTATTTTTAATATAATTTGAATAATTTTATATGATATTTTGAAAATATTTTGCATATATTTTTACTATATTTTTAATACGTATATTTTGTTCATATATGTTTAATAAATTTTGACACTCTTTAATCTAAATTTGTAGTATATTATTTTAATTTATTATTAATATCTTTGTAATATATTTGTTAATACAGCCAATTTTGTAATATTTTGTAATATAATTTGTATATATTTTCTAATTTGTAAAATAAGAACAGATTCCTTCATTGGAACAACGGTGCTTCTGTTTATCATTCAACATATCTGCTTTTCATAAATAAGAACATATTTTATCATAAGACAGATATATTTATATATAATATATGTATATATACATGTCGAATAGATTTTTTCGTAAGAACAGATCTATTATATTATATATATATATTTATATATTGAAATATATACATATCGAATAGAAACCAAACATAAGAACAGATTCCATGATAACCAACAGAATCCATGATCAACCGAACAAATTTTTAACATAACAACAGATCGCAAACCCAGAAAAATCACAGAGACAGATCGGTGCCCCAAATGTGTGTAACGTAAAGCGTAATCAACCAAATCATGACCGTAAAGCAACAGATCGTCATAGGACCGTGTTCATTAGAACGCATACTATGCAGATCAGAAGAAGAAAAAATAGAAATCACATAGGCCATAAGGCATTACCTGTAGATCTGTTTGTGTTTGAGAGGGTAGCTTATTCTTCGCTGCTGCCGCCGTTCTTCTCTTCGTCAAAATCGTCCCTGGTGTGGCTTCTCTTCTCTTCAGCTTTGGAAAGGGCTTTTGTGTTTTGGAGGGAGGTCGAACAACTTCAGATTGAAGAGGCTCCTCGGGGCATTTTGGTAAACTCACATATTGCTTGTGTTTCAACGGACCCGTGAATGGAATTTTGTCGTGACATGGCTGAAATAGCCCTAATTTGTCGGACGTGGCTAAAATAGCCCAGCTTCTCCTTCCCAAACGACACCTAGCTTTTTACATCATATTTAATCAAAAAGCCAAAAAGTTACTTAAAAAACTTGTTCTCAAACGAGACCTAGTATAACAATTTTGTTGCACTTGAGGGTAGATAGAACATGCTATTTAAGAAGAGACTCCTTAAAATTTATTTATTTAAATACGTTTAGAATTAAGATAAAAAATGGTCTTGTAAATTTTACACTATATATTAGTTAACTAACACAACCTTCTTCCTTCATCCATGCTTATGATCAACTATGTTAAATGATAAAAAGTTTAAGCATATATAGATAAGTTTCACGAAATTAAAAAAATTTGGCTTGCAAAATGAATAAGTGAAAATCTTTAAAAAAATTTAATGCTTTCATGAAAATTTAAATTGATCATTTTTAAAACATATATTAGCTAATCTAAAACAACCTAAAGTTTTGCTTAATTTACTCAATATCCAAGAAATTTATTTATTTAAATTTCGGTGAACAGGCTTGACTCCAATTAATCTTATGTAGATTTCCAATACTTCGTCACTTTATTGCCGATTTTCATGAAACTCAATTTGCGGACTAGTTTATTTTATGTAACAATTTTTTACATTCAATCTTTAAATTCTACACAATACGGAGAGGGCCCAACATGTCTAAAATGACAAAGAAGTCCCTCAAAAATAATTATTAATCATGTTTTGTATTTGTTGAGCAGGGCGGCTTAATCTCTATTGTATCAATGAGAAAAAGGAATTTAGTCAAACTCTTCATTAGAATTTTATTTGGTGGAATGACAGTTTAATTTATTTTGCTTCATAACCTCATAAGAAAAAAAAAATACATATTGAATAAGAATAAAGTAAAATGTCCTTTTTTTTTTTTTTTTGACAACATTGTTATAGTAATATGTTACTGTTCTGTCTATCAATTTTAACGGTAATATTTTTATTTATTTTTTTAAAGAATTTATAGTTATATGGATTTTATTTGAATAGATCTTGATGAGAAGAGTCTAAAATACTAATTTATTAAAAATCGACATCTACATTAAAGTTAATATATATTTTAAAGTTTAATATTTTGATAATAATGGTATGTGTTGGACTTTTCAAGAAAAAGTTTTGTACTTGTTCTTAATACATTAAATTTTTATTATGAGGGGGGTTTAACCAAATCCCCCATTAGAAACATTATGAAGGGTTACTCGTTGATATAGTAGACTCTTGTGATATAGCCTAATCTATATTATATTGTAAAGGGATAGAGAATCGAGTGTAACCTAATGTTGAGGTCGCCTCGATTAATGAACAATAATGATTAAGGCCTTGTATGTCAACTACACATTTTAGTCAAAAGTCACTAATAAGTGGTCACATCATTCTCTCTATTTTTATGCATATCTTTTCGTAAGTTAAAAAGTTACTAAAATAGCATGTTCCTAAACAAGACTTAAATGTGTTAATATATATAGATAATATATCTACCTTCCTTCCCAAATGAAGTTTGCAATATATTTTTTATGTAATTAATATATTGTTAAGAAATGGGAATTGAGCAATTCGTATGAGTAAAAAATATATTCAAACTAATAAATCTATTTTGTAATATAATTTGAATATATTTTATATGATATTTTGAAAATATTTTTGCATATATTTTTACTATATTTTTTAATACTTATATTTTGTCATATATGTTTAATAAAATTTTGACACTCTTTAATCTAAATTTGTAGTATATATTTTAATTTATTATTAATATCTTTGTAATATATTTGTAATATATTTGTTAATACAGCCAATTTTGTAATATATTTGTAATATAATTTGTATATATTTTCTAATTTGTAAATAAGAACAGATTCCTTCATTTGGAACAACGGTGCCTTCTGTTTATCATCAACATATCTGATTTTCATAAATAAGAACATATTTTATCATAAGAACAGATATATTATATATATATATATGTATATATATACATGTCGAACAGATTTTTTCGTAAGAACAGATCTATTATATATATATATATATGAAATATATACATATCGAACAGAAAACCAAACATAAGAACAGATTCCATGATAACCAAACAGAATCCATGATCACCGAACAAATTTTTAACATAACAACAGATCGCAAACCCAGAAAAATCACAGAGACAGATCGGTGCCCCAAATGTGTGTAACGTAAGCGTAATCAACCAAATCATGACCGTAAAGCAACAGATCGGTCATGGACCGTGTTCATTATGAACGCATACTATGCAGATCAGAAGAAGAAAAATAGAAATCACATAGGCCATAAGGCATTACCTGTAGATCTGTTTGTGTTTGAGAGGGTAGCTTATTCTTCGCTGCTGCCGCCGTTCTTCTCTTCGTCAAATCGTCCCCTGGTGTGGCTTCTTCTTCTCTTCAGCTTTGGAAAGGGCTTTTGTGTTTTGGAGGAGGTCGAACAACTTCAGATTGAAGAGGCTTCTCGGGGCATTTTGGTAAACTCACATATTGCTTGTGTTTCAACGGACCCGTGAATGGAATTTTGTCGTGACGTGGCTGAAATAGCCTAATTTGTCGGACGTGGCTAAAATAGCCCAGCTTCTCCTTCCCAAACGACACCTAGCTTTTTTTACATCATATTTTAATCAAAAAGCCAAAAA